GGGCCCCTGAAGGGACAAGTCCTCGGGTGGAAAGGGTGGGGCTGAGGCTAGCCTCCCTCAGCCAGCCTTTCAGTGCTGCCCAGCCCACGCTGCCCATGTGACAATTTAAAAGGCCTCTGGCCCAAGTTGCTGCCACAGCAGCAGCAACCAGGATCTCTGGGCCCTTTTAAATTGCCAGGCCCTGGGGCAGCTGCCACTTTTGTCACCCAACCCACCTACCCCTGTTTGCAGCCCTAGCTCCCAGGTCTCTGCCCCTATCTCCCCTCCCCAAAAGCTCTCAGTCCCCTTCTCCTTGCTCTATTCTATTCTATTCTATTCTATTCTATTCTATTCTATTCTAACCAGGTCTCATTCTGAGCTCACCACTATGATATCTCAGCACCCAACCCAGTCTCTATCCCCACAGGTTCCATTTCTAGTCTCCTCGCTTAACCAGCCTATGTCTTCTCCACCCAGTTCCCAGTCATAATAGTTGCTCTCCTCCCCTTTGTTGTGTTTCACTAGACTTCTTGGCCCAATCTCCTCCTTTCCCTCTGCCCAGGGTTGCTGTTTCCCCCTCTTCATTGGAATCCAATGGTTTCCCTCTCCATGTTGCCTGAGCATCAGCACGGAGAACACAGAGGAAACAGGCTCCCTGCTGACACTGCCAGTGTCCAGCGCAAAGCCAGCTGGGAGAAGCAATTACAGGGAAAGTCTGGTTTAGCCCATATAACTCTTGGCTAGAGCATGCTCAGTTGGGTAGCGTATAAGCCAGCTCATCAGCAATAGGAACTATAATTGGCTGGAGCATGCTCAGTAAGCATGGAATCTTCAGAGACTTTAGCTGCTAAAATGAAAGTCACTCGTGAGCATGTGTGACCTGTGATCACTTGGACAAATCTAAGCAGATTTTCATTAGGATGGCAAAAGGCACAACATTTCCTCCCCCTCCCTTCCCTCCTCCTTTCCCCCCCACTCCACCACCCAACACCAAATTTGAAAGAGTGGGGTTGCTACAGCAGTTGAAAATATAGATCTCAATAATTTTTAATATGGCCAAAGCAACATATTCGTGGAAAGGATGGAACTTTTTGTGGTGAAATTTTCCAAAGTATTTAAAAAAAAAAGGAATCAGAGACAGATGCATGACATGGAAAATTTCAGCCAAATGTTTAAAATTTAGCAAAGTTATAAGCAACTGAAAATGTGGTCTTGTAATGGGAAGTATCAAGCAACCTTAACAATAGGTAAGGCTAAGTTTTAGTCATGGGTATTTTTAGTAAAAGTCATGGGCAGGTCACAGACAGTAAATAAAAATTCATGGCGTATCAGCTGTTCTTGACTTGCACTATATACTCCCCACTAAATGTTGGGTGCTCTGGGAGCAGGAAGTAATCCAGAGGGGCCGTGGGTTCTCAGGAGGAGTGGGCAAAGGTGTGTGACCCAGAAAATCTTGCAGGTGCTGAGGGGAGGCTAGGTGGTAGCATGTGGCTGGAAATCCTCCACTGTCACTGCTGCTGAATAGCAGAGGTGTGTGACTTCTACACAAGCCATGCAGGTCCCAGAAAGTCATGGAATTCATGACTTCCATGGTGTCAATGACAGACTTAGTCTTAATAATGGACCATGCTTACCATCTCACCTATGATGTATATCACTCTCTCTCACACACACGCTCACTACAATTTAAAATCCTTTAAGATTATAAATGTAAGATTATTTTCTTTTATCAACTGAAAAGTTCAGTACTTATTTTAAAACATTCCCACCAAATATTCTAGCAAATATATATTTATATATAATGAAAAGCTATCATGAACAGCATCAAGGTAGTAAACTGGACTTTCAGAAGCAATGATATGCAGGTCAGCATTGCCATCAACTTTACACTCCTGCCCATGTGCCAAGGTAAATCTGAGAAGCCTGAGATTTCATGGTTTAAAAAAAGTTATAACTAAATACAGTGTATTAGACACCTCAGAATTTCCAGACTTTCATGTAAATTGTCTGGATACTACTGTGGTAGGATGCGTCTAGACTGGCAAGATTTTGTGCAAAAGCAGTTGCTTTTGCGCAAAAACTTGTCAGCTGTCTATACTGGCCGCTTGAATTTGCGCAAGAGCACTGACGTTCTAATGTAAGAATTCAGTGCTTCTTGCGCAAATACTTTGATACTCCCGCTCAGGGATAAGCCCTCTTGCACAAGAATACTTGCGCAAGAGGGCCAGTATAGACAGGCACCTTAATATTTTGCGCAAGAAAGCCCAATGGCTAAAATGGCCATTGGAGCTTTCTTGTGCAAAACCATGTCTAGACTGGCCATGGCTGCTTTTGTGGAAAAGCACTTTTTGCGCAAAAGCATCCATGCCAATCTAGACGCTCTTTTGCGGAAATACTTTTAACGGCAAAACTTTTCCATTAAAAGTATTTCCACAAACTCATGCCAGTCTAGACGCAGCCATTTTGTTATAGAATTCATTTTAGTTTTCCAGGAATATAAATGGTTGGCAACCTTTTTTGAGTAACTGCTGTGCTTTTGGAATGAAAGAAAATCTTCATTTAAAATGAGCTTTGTGTAGAAAAAAACTAAATGGTTGCACAATTTGAGAGTACATTAGCTCCTTATAGAATTATTCTTTTGAAGAAGGATTGATGAACTAACTGTAGATTGTATTATTTACATACAGTGCTTTTAATTAAGAAAGATTTATGTGACTGATCGTAGAAAAATAATAAAAAGTAATATATTTTCAACCTTTATATTGCAAAATATTTTCTGTGAAGTATTACCACATATACATACCATGAATCCAGAAAATAAATTCATTTAAATTATACATTTTCATGTAACTATTATATTTATCAAGTTCAGACCAGAAAATGTATCAAATGCTACATTACGATATTTCACATTGCCTATGTCTTCTTCGAATTTTAATCTGATTTTCTTTTTTGGTTGAAATTTCTATTGTAGTGCCATCAAGTGGCCAGAACTAGAATCGAAGTTTCCAATTTCACGGTTACAAACACTTTATTGTATGCTTGCTGCCCATTAAAATGTAATATGTACTAGACATGAGAGGCAAAGCGATTATCAATTAATATTGCATTGATTGGACCTTGACTGTAAAAATGGCTGCCTTTGTGGAAAAGGAAAAGCATGTTACCAAGCTGTTTTGTAAGCATTCTGGGGAACTCTTAATATATGTATAATGTTTACACCATAAAACAGATCTGGAATTTTTTCCAGCAGGTCTGGCTCAGATGATCCAGACCCATTTGGTGGACTATGACCCATTTGTTTTTTTCCTAGCAGGAACTTTGCCTCATTTTTGTAGTAAAAGCTGCCTATATGATTTTTCTTTCCTTCTCCATGCTCTCCACCCCCCTCCCCATGTCTTTTCTACAATGTTATCATAGCTTTTCTATGGAGTAGCAGACAGGAAGTGTAATAAGAGTAACATTTTCCTGATTCAACCACCTGTGGTTTTCAACCTATTTACCATTGTGGACTGCATATGCAGCCCACCTGTGTGACCCTGAGTTTGTCACATGGCCTACAGCTGTGTGCTGATTGGGTACCAGATTGAGAACCACTGAATCAGTCCCTGAAGGACAGAGACACTCATGAATCTATCTTCTCTGTAAAACACTGGATTTGCTGTTCAGAAAAGGACTGAACTGTGTGACTGAACCTTTCTTCAGGTGATTAATTGGTTGCTCATGTCATCATGTACTATGTTAGAAATGTGCAAAACTGGGAATGGATATAGTTTTCAAAAACCTCATCACTTACTGTTTTATTTTGCAAAATCAAAACTTGTCCTATTTTATCAGAACTACCAAGTCTAGAAGTTGATGCACTGCATAAATGGTTCCAGTTGTGGCCCATTTCCAGGTATATGTAGTGTGAAAAATAAACCATATGAATCTAATTAGACCAATGGGGAAATCCTACCTGATGACTTATTAGTAAATGTAAGTGTTCACAACATTGTTTTGTTTTACTACTTTGATAATTTTGAGCTGTATTGAAATTTCTGGTAGTAAAACAAAGAACTGGCTTTTAACAATGAGCTGTTACAGGAGTGTTGGGACATTTTTATAGTAAGGTGCTGCTGATGGGAAACCATGCATTTGTTGTTTGTTATTGCTTCAAGCCAGTTGCTGCATCCCAAGTCCCAACACCACTCAACTGTTTTGTCTATCAGCTTATTACTATGTCAACGGTATTAGCTGTTTATCTTTGGGAAATCAACTTGTTTTTACTTTTATAGCGGTGTAAGAAAACAATGCACTTTTCAGGAAACCATTGCACACGTACACTACTTTGGCGCTCTGTGCATTTGACATGTATATGCTTGTCCAAAACAGGAACGTGCTCTGCTCTTTGCACTGGGGTTTTAACATGCCTGTTGGTTCACACTCAGCGCAGAGGTTACCTCCGTGTGAAATATCCCCCTTTGCAAGTCGATCTGTAATTAAACTTTCGGGCAGAACAGGTTTCCTAGTTTCCTGCAGAGAAATGTGTCGGGTTTTGACTTTTGCCGCCTCTCCATTGGAGCTGGGTTTCTTTTTCATGCCTGTTCAAGTGCAACACGAACGGGGAGGCTCCAAACCGGCAGCTTTTTAATTCACTCGGGACTGCTGCTCGCCTCGTTTCCTTTTCGCAAAACGTGCTAACAGCGAGAGGGCGCCGTGAACTCTGGCCACCCGGAATGACGCTGCTCCGGGGCAGGGACTAAGGGCGAGGGCCCGAGCCTGCCTTCTTGTGCCTCCCCCCCATGTCCATTTGAATTTAGGGACTGCAGCCCCGGTTCAAACGGGGCAAGAAGCTCATTTCTGGGGGCCCTGTGCGGGGGTTTTGTTCTGTAGGGCGCCCACCCCACCGGGGCACGTGCCCTAAGCCAGGCGAGCCCTGCCCGGCTGCAGCCCCCTGCCGTGAGTCCACAGCCGGCGCTGGCCCGGGAGGGCGCGGCTTGCTACCGAGGAGCCCCAGCCCAGCCGCGCCCCGCGTCCCTAGCAACAGCCTCCGCCTCCTGCCAGCGGGCTCGTCGCACCAGCCTGCGCTTGCGGCGGCAGCGGGGCTCCCCTGGCCTGCGCCCCGGCTCTGCAGGCTCTAGGGGAGGCGGGCAGGTAGGGGCTGGACGCTCCGGGCGGGGGCTTGTGCGGGCGAAGCCTCGCAGCGGCTGAGGGGTTTCTCTGGGGCCGAGCCACCTCCCCGCGCCCGGTCGCAAGCATCTGCTTGGATCCCGGCTGCCCCGAATGTCCCCCGAGACCCTGCGCTGCAGGGCAACCCGCTCCTTCCTCTCCCTAGCCCAGGGGCCCCCTGCCTTGCTCCCCGCCTTCCTCCCAGGGCTGCCCACAGGCGCCTTTATCCGAGCCTGGGTGGGTCTGGTTGGTTTCCCTAGTCTGTGCGACTTGGCAATCAAGGCAGGAATGAGATTCTACCCCAGCCCTCTTGCCAGTCATATAGTTTGGGGTGACATTTTGTTTATTTTGTTTGGCAGCTTAAAGACTAACACATTTATGTGGGCATAAGCCTTCCTGGGGGAAAAACACTTGGTCAAACATCTGGGCTATGTCTGCACTGGCGGCTTCTTGTGTGAGTAATATGCAAATGAGGCTATGCAAATGAGACTAAACGTGGAATATCACCAAGCCGCATTTGCATACCTAAGGAGACACCATTTTTTTCAGAAGAGGCTCTTGCGCAAGAAGGAGCGCCTACACTGCCCCTTCTTGCACAGGAAAAACCCTCTTGAGCAATGCCGTTCTTCCTGAAAAGTAAAAGGGCTAAGTCTAGACTGGCATGATTTTCCGCAAATGCTTTTAACGGAAAAGTTTTCCGTTAAAAGCATTTGCGGAAAAGATCGGCTAGATTGGCACGGACGCTTTTCAACAAAAGCACTTTGTGCAGAAAAGCATCTGTGCCAATCTAGACGCGGTTTTGCGCAAGAAAGCCCCGATAGCCATTTTCGCGATCGGGGCTTTTTTGTGCAAAACAATACCGTGTTGTCTACACTGGCCCTCTTGCACAAAAGCATTTGCGCAAGAGGGCTTTTGCCCTAATGGGAGCAGCATAGCATTTCCGCAAGAAGCACTGATTTCAGACAGTAGGAAGTCAGTGTTCTTGCGGAAATTCAAGCGGCCAGTGTAGACAGCTGGCAAGTTTTTCTTTTGCGGAAAATCTTGCCAGTCTAGACGCAGCCATAGGTGTAACGGCATCGCGCAAGAGGGTTTTTCTTGTGCAAGAAGGGGCAGTGTAGATGCTCCTTCTTGCGCAAGAGCCTCTTCTGAAAAAAAATGGTGGCTCATTAGGTATGCAAATGAGGCTCTGCGATATTCCACACTTAGCCTCATTTGCATATTACTCGCGCAAGAAGCCGTGAGTGTAGACATAGCCCTGGAGTGGAAATCACCAAGGTAGGATATGTGTATGTGTACTAGCATATCAAAAGAAGGGTGTCACTTATCGAGTGTAGGACCAATTTTAAGGAGACCCATTCAATTAGGGTTGATGTCACTTGCTCCCAGTAATTGAAGGGGAGGTGTGAATACCAAAAGAGAGGGGAAATTGCCTTTGTAGTGAGAGAACCAAAGTCCTTACTCAGTCCTAATTTGATCATGTTAAATTTACAAATGAATCCTAGCTCTGCTTTTTCTCTTTTTTTAGTCTGGTTTTGAAGGGGTTTTTTTATACAGGGATGGTTATTTTTAAATCAGTAACTGAGTGTCCAGGGAGGTTAAAGTATTTTCCTGCTGGTTTTTGTATGTTACCTTTCTTGATGTCTGGTTTGTGTCCATTTAACCTTTGGTGCAGAGATTGTCCAATGTGACCATTACTTATGGGAAAGTGGCATTGCTGACAACATGATGGCCTATAGCATGTTAGTAGATGTGCAGGTGGATGTGCTCCTAATAGTGTGGCTGATGTGGTTAGGTCCTATGATGTTGTTGCGTGCTGTGTCAACTTCCTTCTGGGGCTAAAGGGGTATGCCTCTCCCAGCTGATACATACTTACACAACAACCCTTCTGAATTTTGTTTTATGTTACAGGAGAGTGGGAATGGACAATAGATAGACTGCTAGTTGTACTCCATGCCAAGCATGTCTTCAGTCAGGAATGTACCTTCTGGGGCTGCTGCCCACACTGAGACCATTGTTAAAATAATTGGGAGCAAGTACGTCCGGTACACAGTAGAAAAACCAATAATGTAAGTATGGGGCTTGAAGACCTCTACCATGTATGAATATAATGATTTGTTTTTTCAGGAACCATCGATGAGGGACTTTGAAATTCTGGGTAGGTTTAAGACCACAATAAAAATAAAATCAAGACCCCAAATTCTAACCTATAAGTACTTAGGGCCAAGATTTTTAACAGGGGGTGTGATACTTACGTTAGATACGTTAGATACTTACACGTGAGTTTATGAGCCTAAGTAAGCAGCCTTATGCAGATGTCATTACATTCCAAGGGAGCTACTGGGTATTCTGGATATTTAAAAATCAGGTGCCTTGCATGCCAAACTGTGGTTCAGATTATCGAAAGAGCTCCATTAAAAATGAGGTTTTCAGAAGAATTCAGCATCCATCAGCTTCCACTGAAACCACCAGGAGCTGCCAAAAGCTGGGGTATTGTTAAGGAGCTAGCCACTTAATTTAGCAACCTAATGTGCTCTGAAAACCTGGCCTGTAGGAGTCGCAAAAATGCCCAAGAGATGTGGCAACCCAGGGCAACATTTTCAGAAGCTCTAAGGGTATGTCTACACTACCACCCTAGTTCGAACTAGGGTGGTAATGTAGGCAACCGGAGTTGCAAATAAAGCCCGGGATTTGAATTTCCCGGGCTTCATTTGCATGTTGCCGGGCGCCGCCATTTTTAAATGTCCGCTAGTGCGGACTCCGTGCCGCGCGGCTACACGCGGCACGGACTAGGTAGTTCGGACTAGGCTTCCTAGTCCGAACTACTGTTACTCCTTGTTTCACGGACTCTTTTTAAATACCAAATCCTAGATTTCTCTTTCTGAACTAGATTGGAAAATGTGAGTACCTTGACATTTATAAAAATTAATGACTTTCTACTGGTTCTTCTCATCTAGGTTATAGTATATCACATAGTAATTTGATGGTGGTGTTTAGTTAATTTGTTTATGGTATGTAAAAAAGAAGGGTATTAATAATAGATTGTCAATGGTAAGAATTTTCCATGAGTCAACACATGAGTTGCCTTTCTTACTTTGCTGTAAGGTCTGGTCTTCACAAAGAAAATGCAGAATTTCAGTGGTCTGACTGCCAATTCAGCTTTAGTTAAAATACATTTGTTGATCTCACCCAGTCAATAGTGAAGAGGAGTTGCATCTTCTAAGACGTTACAGTAGGGTATCATAAGAAATTACCTGACTTACACAGGAAACCTAGCTCGATAATTACTAATAGTATCCATCCAGGTGTTGACATTCCAGTCTAACATCTGTGAAAAAGTGAGGGAAACTGTAAATTATAAACTCAGTGGACCCTTAACCAAAGATCCCTTTTATATTCTAGAATACCCATCACCGAGTGTATTTAGGTAACCTTTCGGTCAGTGATCCCTGGGAGCTGAGCGCTTGGGCAGCCACCCAAGAGAGATTATAATGCCAGCCAGATGCTTAGCAGAGCACCCAGAGTGCTCACAACCGGCAGCATGTGTTTCTACTGGTGGTACACATCTGCACCTGCCTTGGTTCACATAACAGAGTTTATTCTACACACGGATGGAAGAAATTAGAAGGAACATTGCTCTAGGTGCCTTCTGTGTGAAATAAAAAACTTTCCTAGAACAGAATAATACCACTTCTGTTAGGTCAATGTTTCAGAGACTATTCACTAGAACTGGAGATGTACTTGTCCCATGCTGTTGTAAATGCTCATTTGGGTCATCACGCCTAATGTTGAATCCTAAAGCCACAACAATTGAAGTTTCCTAGTGTCTTTTCCTCTACAAGTGATACAGGAGTAACTTGATGAAATTCTCAAGCCTACTACACAGGAGGACATCCTAGATGATCTAGTGGTCTCATCTGGCCTTAAAAGATATGAATTTAGATTCCACTGATAATATCCGTGGGCTTCAATCCAAGCAGCAAACTTTCTAAGAATGGAATATTGTACATGACTGTCTAATCTAAATGCAAATGGAATATATATTTGCATAAGGCTATATCTCTGCTCCTGTTTTTCTCAGCAAGGCAAAGGAGGGCATGAAAGTGGAAACTCAGTCTGCACTCCAGAAATTGCCCGCTTGTAATACAAGACAGACACATGGAAATTCTCCAGGTCTCAATAACCCTCTTTATCAACAAATCAATTATGACCGAGCTTATGAAAGACGGAACACAGACAAACAAGATGAACACGAGCCTAAACAAGCGCAAACAAGCAATAGCAGATTTTTGGATGGCAAAGTGAGTTGCTATACTGTCTGTAGCTGCAGCATTTTGAATGGTACAATCAGTTTCAGGGAAGATCCATGGGTAATATTTAATATTGAAATAACCAGATCTCTTTGCAATAATATAAATATTATGTGCACTAAGAACCTAGTAATGCAATCCTTATGTTTGTGAGCACTTAGTCAAATAGTTGCGTAGAAGCTAAGTCGAATAAGAATTTTACACTCAGGTCCTTTGTAACAGGAGGACTTAAAAAAGGTATTGTTGTTTATTAAGCTGCACTATGTTCCATTAAATAAATAAGCAGAGTTGTACCTGTTCCACTGATAGATACATTGGTTCATTGAAGTTTGAACAAGAGTTGGGCAAAATTTTGTGTCCAAAACTTTTTTCAGACAAAAAAAAAAAAAAAAAAAGATTTAGTGAAACTAATGTTTTTGCCAATGTTGGTTTTGCCATATTTTTTGTGTTGGAAACCCTATCTCTGCCCCTCAAAAAATCAAGCTGCTTCTGTTTTTCAGTTCTAAATTATTTTCTTTTCTTTTTGAAGTTTTCTTCAATTTTATTTTTTAAATGTATTGTTGATTTGAAACATTTTTGGGGCATCAAACATATTTTGTTTGACCAGAAATGATTTTTTTTAAAATTGAGGCTAGCCAGTGAGCCAAAAAATCCATTTTCTGCCCAGTTGTAGCTGGACCCTAAATATTTAGAAGTGTTTAGTAATTTTGGGTACCTCCTTTTGTAGGTGCACAGCTTGGGATGCTATGCACCTCCAACTCAAACTGAGTCATTCTAGAGGTTGTTCTTAATGAGGTATGGCTATAAAAATGTAGACTATGCCCCAGACAGGGCATGGTTCATAATCACATTATCCTGAGGGGAACTGGTCCTTTTTTGAGTGCTGCCTTCTTGCTCAAAAGAAATCACTCACTGGATTCCTTTACTAAATTTCCCATTCTCCCCACTCTTTGCTCTCCTTTGATTTGCTGTGTTGTTTGCCAAATACCTAACAATGCTCTACATTGTTCCATGTACAACTCTGCAGTCTTTATCAGAGGGGTAGCCGTGTTAGTCTGAATCTGAACCTTGCATCTGACGAAGTGGGTCTTTGCCCACGAAAGCTTATGCTCCTACACTTCAGTTAGTCTATAAGGTGCCACAGGACTCCTCGTCGCTTCTGCAGTCTTTGTACAGCTTGCCCGCCATCCCTAGGAGTTTCATAAATAAACCACTTTAGCCCTTGTTGTAGAAGACTGATATTTGGGACATTATGCCCTTATTTGGGACCTAATGTATTTTTGGAGAGTAGGAATGCAGTGCTAATGGAGGATGGCCATATGTGTGGTAGTTAGAAGGAAGAGTAATATTTGGGGACGATCAGTGCTGAAAGTAGCTAATCATTTGTTTGTTTTAAACCTATTGCAAAAGGCAGCACCTGGCCTTTGTTTCTTTCCACATCAGGGTAGGGTTACACTTCAGCAGAGGAATAAAGGAAAGATTTGTTACCAGTTCAGATATTTGTGAAATGAACTGATCATAGGCGTGCGCATGGGATGTGCCGGGTGTGCCAGGGCACACCCTAATGTTTCAAAGGGCCGCCCTGGTGTGCTGGGGAATGGACGCTGCACAGGGTTTGCCACGCATGCGTGGCTAAAACCGGCAGGTCTTAGGACCTCGCGGAAACCGGTGGCAGGGAGCAGAATCATCACCCCGCCTCCCCAACAAGCGAGGTAAGTTTAAACCCTAGGCAGGAAGGTGGGGGGTATGCCCGCCCCTGGGCAGGAGATGGGAGCAGCACAGCTATGCCGGGGGTTGGCTCGGCTCAGGAGCAGCACAGCTGAGGTGTGTGTGTTGGGTTGGGGCAGCGCAGCTGGGCTCCGGGCTGGGGGGGCCCTGCGTCTGGGGTAACGCAGCTGGCCCGGCCTGGCCCGGCCCGGGGGTCGGGGGCAGCGAAGCTGGGTTGGGGCAATGAGGCTGGCCTGGGGAGGGGAGGGGAAGGTAGGGTCGGGGGCAGCGCGACTGGTCCAGGGAGGGGGGCAGCACAGCTGGCCCCCGCCCCCCAGAGCTGCTTCCCATCCTCCCTTCCTCCCAGACCCCCCTCTTTCTTCCTGCTAACCCCATGTTCCTCTACCCCGCACCCCAGCTCTGCTTCCTGCACCTCCTTCCTCCCGGCCAGCTCTGCGGCCCCTGACCCCCCGCCAGCTCTGCTTCCCGCCCCCCCCTCCTCTTGTCCAGCTCCCCCCACTAGAGGCTCCCAGTGCCGATTTTGCCCCACCTTCCAGTAATTTCCCCCGCCACCACCAGGCTTCAGTCTGGTGCCCAGCCGGAAAACCAGAAAATACCAGACGTTGCATGTGTCCGGTATCTTCTGGATTTTTTTTACCAGACAGAGTGCCCAAAAACTAGACTGTCCAGTAGAAAACCGGACACCTGACAACCCTATGAGTTGGACCTGGTACAGGTACCAAGTGATGGGGAGACTGCCGGAACTTTGGGAACCAGAGACTGTGGGGTGGGGTTTGTAGCCCAAAAGGGGGCTGAGAAACCTGAGGGTACGTCTAGACTACAGGCTTCTGTCGACAGAAGTTTTGTCGACAGATACTGTCGACAAAACTTCTGTCGACAAAGAGCGCCTAGACTACATTGAGTTCTGTCGACAAAGCAAGCTGCTTTGTCGACATGGTAGTGTAGATGCAAAGGACAGTTTACATGCAATAACACCTTCTGTCGACAGAAACTCTGTCGACAGAAGGCGTTATGCCTCGTAAAATGAGGTTTACCAGCGTCGACAAAACTGCTGAGTTCTGTCGACGTTATGTCGACAGAACTGAGTGGTAGTGTGGATGCAGGTATAGTTTTGTCGTCAAAAGTCCACTTTTGTCGACAAAACCCTGTAGTCTAGACACACCCTGTAAGAGACAGAGTAGGGGGAGCACCAGAAGGGTGACAGTCAGGGCGACCCTAGAACTCTGTTACAGACCAGCTGGCTGGAGGAGGAGGGAAGAATAGGGGGAAAGGGTCAGAGAGGAAGGAGCTTATGCTGAGGGGAGGGGGGCAGGTCAGGAGAAGAAAGGAGAAGGAACCAAGGGACAGAGTGGAGGAGAGAGACAAATGCCAGGGGACCAAGTGGAGACAATGAGGAAAAGGGCAGGAGGGGAAGTGTCAGTGAGAGGGGGGACAGGATGGTGCTAGGAGAGGAGAGGGGAAGGGCTTTGGGGGGCTATATGGGAGAAGGGGAGGTGCTGGGAGAAGGCTTGAAAGAAGGGGTGGGCATGAGGAAGGCAGGGATGGAGCAAGGCATGTGTAAGGGCACATGGGAATGGGGGCAGAGGATAGTGAGGGGATGAGCATCAGGGAAAAAAAGGGCAAAGGGGGCAGGGGCAGTGAGGGAAGGGGGAGGCACCAGGAGGGTGCAGGGATAAGGGAAGGTGCAGGTGCCAGGGGATTCTGGGGTGAAGCAGAAGGGCAGACACCTGCAGGGGAGGGACCAGCACCAGTGGAGAGAGGCAGGGCAGGTGTGTAGTGGGAGGTGTTAGGAGAGGGGATGAGGAGG